TATTTAAAACTTATAAATCATTTTAAATAATAAAAAACTAAAAAAATAAAAGTGTAAAGGAGTGCACGACTTTAAGTAAAGAAGTCGTCAACCCCAAACGTTTTCAACTTTTAAATTTTTTGATTATTTTAAATAGTTTATAATAAAAAAATTGTTATTAATTAATTATAAGGGTTAAATATGTTTTTAGTCCCTTAAGTATTATACGATTTTGGGTTTAGTCCCTACTCAAAATTTTGATTGCTTTTAGTCCTCATAGTTTTGAAACTGTTATAAATAGTCCCTAATTTTGGATGGCGTTAATTTTTGTTTGACGTGGCTAAGGGCCAGCCCACGTCTGATGTCAGGTATGAGTTTATTCTCTGTCACGTTTTCTTTTCTTTTTATTCCAAATTTGCACACAAGCCCCTAATTACTTCAATGTTTACACTTCAGAAGGAACACCGCAATTAGGGTTCAGAAGGAACACGCAATTAGATTAAATCATTGGCAGCCATCTCGCAATGTACAGATACATAGAAGGCGAAATGGTGGTTCATGCTGTTATGGTTGTAGAACAGGAGATAAGAAGGACACTGACTCTACTTGGTTGGTTGACGCTGTAGGAAATGATGCAGTGATCCTCTCAGGATGTAAAGCTGAGAGATTCATACTTGAAGATGGAAATGGTGGAATGAAGAAAAAGAAATGTTCAGGACTTATTGCTGCAGCAACGTGGAGAAGTAAGGTATTAAAGAAACTCCTAATCAAATCCAAGGTAACTCCTAATCAAAACCCTAATTTTGGGTAAAGGGTCCACGGTTTCCCTAGACAGACTCACCTGAGTCAACCCTGCACCTAACTGGTCAAACAGGGGCTATTATGCAATTTTGAAAAGAAGTTAGGAGCTGAAGTGTAAACTTTGAAGAAATTAGGGGCTTGTGTGCAAATTTGGAATAAAAAGAAAAGAAAACGTGGCAAAGAATAAACTCATACCTGACATCAGACGTGGGCTGGCCGTTAGCCACGTCAAACAAAAATTAACGCCATCCAAAATCGAGTAGAGACTAAACTCAAAATTGTGTGATACTTAAGGAACTAAAAACATATTTAACCCTAAATATAATTCAAAAAAAATATAATATAATAATTAAAATTAAAAAAAATAAATTAGAATGAAATATAACTTTTAAATATTAATTAGATATGATTTATATTATTTTAAATATATTTAAAAATATTATTTATTAATTATAAATCATTTTAATTAATAAAGAAATTAAAAATTAAAAAAAAGTAAAAGTGTGTTCGAGTGCACGACTTCTCATATTAAAGTCGTCAACCCCTTTACAACTTCAATAATTTTGTTATTTATTAGTGAAAAAAAGACGTAATCGATTACGATGACATGAAATCATATTTTGAGTGTACCACTTAAACACTGATCAAATGAATAGTATGAAGTCATACAGAAAAGATACAACTTCTTCATTAATATTCGACGACTTTCTTTTAATCCAAAATTTGTCTATTCCCTAATATCTCAAGACAAATTTGCCCAGTTTCGAATCAAGAAACTTAAATAGGAGTATTTAAACGTAAACATTTAATAGAAGTAATGAATGAATATTCATTTGGTAACGTGTAACCAGTGACCACTTAAAAAAAATCTAATTTAGTTGTTAAGTGTATAAAAAGAAATTATAAATTGATTTATAAACTTCATATTTTAATATTAAATTAGTTCTCAAAATCTATAATTTAATATTAAATTAATTATTTGTTATTACATTTAATCGAAAGTAATCATCACAGTTTTATGCATCTATTGGTAAAATGATTTTATTGGCAAACTAAACTTTTTCTGGATATTTTTCATCATTTATGGAGGAAGTAGATTGCATAATACGACTTAAACCTGTTCATTTACCTTCCAATTTAAGACCATTCCTTTTCTTCTAACTCTTTCAAAAAGTTTTCTCTGTCAGACCTACGTTCCATTTCTTCCAAAAAGTTTGCACCTTTCGCACATCGTCATGGCCCCAAACCCGGAATCCGAAACCGGGTCGGGTCTGAGAAAGCGAAACGGAACGAGCATCTCCGAGTTGATTTCCGAGTTGCGCGACTCGTTCCTGACTAGCGACTTTGACCGAGTCGAGAAGGTGTTATTGGCGCGAGAAGAGAGGCTGGAGGCAGAGCTCGACGAGAAGGAGAGAGAAATTGGGTCCCTCAGAGAAAAATTGGCTATTGAGAGGTTGGGGAGGATCAATGCGGAGTTGGAACTGGAGAAGCTGAGGCAGAAGAAGGTGGTGAGGAGTGATAATGGATTTGGTTTGGATTGTGAGATTGTTGTGAAGAGGGAAAAATGCAATGTTGATGGTGGTGGTGAAGTGGAAGGTGGAAAGGTTGGAGCTTTGGGAAAAAAGGAGAGAAGGGTTGCTGCCTTGGAGAGTGAGAAGGAGAGGAATGTTTGTGAGCAGAAGAAGGAAGTGGTTGGAATCAGCGGCTCTTTGTCTTTGAAGACAAACGAAGGTGGTTTAGGTGCTTCAGGTATGAATATTTCTTTTGTGCTTTTTTTTCTTCCTAATTTGCCTATGTGATTGTTAGTATTGAATACAGTGAACGGGTTGAATACAGTGAAAGGGTTGAATATAGTCAAAAATGAATGTTGAATAGAGTGAAATTTATATATGAGATTTATCTTCTTGAATTCAATGAATATAGAATATGGGTTGAACATGATGTTATATTTATAAAAGTAAAAATAGACATTAAATTCAAAATATAAATAAAAAATAATAATAAATTAATTAAAAATAGAAAATAATATATTTAATATTCTTTCTTAAGTTAGTAGTATGTACTAAATTTATTACTAATATAATTCATAAAGACTTAATAAAAATATTTGTTTTTACATTCGAGTGATACCATATTACTAATGATTTGCAAGACGACAAGAAGACAAAATATCAACTCAAAAGATTCTTCATGAGCAACGAACCATTGAGGAGAGATTATTTGGATGGGTCAAATGCAATGGTCACTAAAAGGAGGTCAGAAGAGACGATAGTAGAAGAAGCCATGGATGAACAGGAGAGAGAAACCATAAAAATCCAAGATTCTTCAATCAAGGCACTTGGAAAAGGAAAAAGAGCAACATCGATGCTATGAATAGCTGCGTGAGAGGAGACAGGACGTGCGACAATGTACAATGAACTTGAAAGAGGAAAACGAGCAACCTCGAAGCTTTGAATTGCTACTGGACATGCCACCATGCACGATGGAAAATGGAGCAAATCCACAACAAATCCACAACTTCAAAAGGCATTGAGAACGTGTAGGAGTTCCGATGAAGGCGTCATTGGTGACATGGTGATCGCCTGGTCGAGACGATAAAAACCATGTGATCGTCGGCCGAAACTAAAACTTCTGTAGTGGTAGATGATGGCGTCTCGGGTATCAGTAGATAGTGCCGTCGTCGATAGCAAAGGGTGTAGTGGCAGAGGCAACAAAATGTTTGTCCTCAAAAGAACCTTAGACTCTAGATATCATGTTAAATATAGTGAAAACTTTATGTGAGATTTATCTCCCTTGTGTTGAATATAGTGAAAACTATATGTGAGATTTATCTCCCTTGTGTTGAATATACACATAGGATCATTTATTTATAATAGAAGATGTTGGAAGTCCCACATCGACTAGAGATAAGGTTAATTCATAGTTTATAAGTGGGTGCAAACCTCACCATACAAGCCGATTTTGTGGGGTTGAGTTAGGCTTAAAGTCCACTTCTAACATGGTATCAGAGTCATGGTTAGAGTCTATCCTAGCGATAATTTGTTGTTTGTTGGGCATATTGTTTGTGTTGGAAGTCCCACATCGACTAGAGATAAGGTCAATTTATACTTTATAAGTGAGTGCAAACCTCACCCTACAAGCTGGTTTGAGTTAGGCTGACAGAAGAAATATGGACTGAGCCCAAAATACAAATAATTTTAGAGGTTTATTAATAATTTTGTTTGAATTTTATTTTATTAGTTTGAGTTTGGTAACATTTAGTTTGATTTTGATAGAGATAAAATAGGGATAGGTAATTTTGATTTTCCATTTATTTAGGTGTAGTGTTATTTTATTTTGTTGATATAAGATAGAGATAGATTAAGTAGTTGTTTTTATTGTGAGACAGTTAATTTAGTTTTTAGTTTTTATTAGGTTTAAACCCAAAATGAGATGACGTGGTCCACGCTGATGTAAAAGTGTTTTATTATGTGGATTTTTTTTTTAAATTAAGAGTTTTTGACATGGCAAAATTTATTATGAGAATAAGGTTCGCTCCTTCTCCTTCACGCCTACTTTCTAGGCTAGCTTTGTGATGATGACGAATCTTGTTAATGGCAAAGAGTGTGGAATCTTGTTAATGGCAAAGAGCTCAGATGCAGAGAGTGTGAACATGGAGAGCTCAGTCCCAACAATAGATGAAGTGATATCGGTAAAAATGATGCGACAAATATGGAGAAGGCAAAGCTGTAGAATAAATTCAGACAAAAAGATGAAGAGATTCAGCGAATAGGGAGGCTTTTGGATGATGCTAATGAGATTATGAATAAATAGAGGGTTGAGCTTGAGGAACTGAAGAAGGCTGTTATTGACAAGGAGGAGGAAACATTCGGTGTTCTTGAACCAGATGAAAACGGGAAAGAGGAAGATAAAGATGTTGAGAAGAACGAGGATACGAAAAGCTCGGATACTAAAAGCTCGGATACTAAGATAGCAAAAAATATGATGAGTAAAATTTCAGACAAAATGAAGAAGTCGACTGAGATTGTTGAGAAATTATCTAAGGTCATAAGCAAGAAGGTCGAGGTTATTGAGAAGATAGGCAGAACAAAGAACAAATCGTCCAAAGCATTAAAAAAGTCAACCAAGGTAAAAAACAAGAGGGTCATAAGGAAAAAGAAGAATCCAAATCTAGTTGAAAGANACCATTCCTTTTCTTCTAACTCTTTCAAAAAGTTTTCTCTGTCAGACCTACGTTCCATTTCTTCCAAAAAGTTTGCACCTTTCGCACATCGTCATGGCCCCAAACCCGGAATCCGAAACCGGGTCGGGTCTGAGTAAGCGAAACGGAACGAGCATCTCCGAGTTGATTTCCGAGTTGCGCGACTCGTTCCTGACTAGCGACTTTGACCGAGTCGAGAAGGTGTTATTGGCGCGGGAAGAGAGGCTGGAGGCAGAGCTCGACGAGAAGGAGAGAGAAATTGGGTCCCTCAGAGAAAAAATGGCTATTGAGAGGTTGGGGAGGATAAATGCGGAGTTGGAACTGGAGAAGCTGAGGCAGAAGAAGGTGGTGAGGAGTGATAATGGATTTGGTTTGGATTGTGAGATTGTTGTGAAGAGGGAAAAATGCAATGTTGATGGTGGTGGTGAAGTGGAAGGTGGAAAGGTTGGAGCTTTGGGAAAAAAGGAGAAAAGGGTTGCTGCCTTGGAGAGTGAGAAGGAGAGGAATGTTTGTGAGCAGAAGAAGGAAGTGGTTGGAATCAGTGGCTCTTTGTCTTTGAAGACAAACGAAGGTGGTTTAGGTGCTTCAGGTATGAATATTTTTTTTGTGCCTTTTTTTTCTTCCTAATTTGCCTATGTGATTGCTAGCATTGAATACAGTGAAAATTATAGTTGAATACAGTGAAAGGGTTGAATATAGTCAAAATGTTGAATAGTTAGAAATTTATATATGAGATTTATCTTCTTGAATACAATGAATATAGAATATGTGTTTAACATGGTGTTATATTTATAAAAATAGAAACAGAGACTAGATTCAAAATATAAATAAAAAATAATAATAAATTAATTAAAAATAGAAGATAATATATTTAATATTCTTTCTCAGTGTATATAAATGGTATGTACTAAATTTATTACTAATATAATTCATAAAGACTTAATGAAAATATTTGTTTTTACATTCAAGTGATACCAAATTACTAATGATTTGTAAGACGACAAGAAGATGAAATATCAATTCAAAAGATTCTCCATGAGCAACAAACCATTGAGGAGAGATTATTTGGACGGGTCAAACACAATGGTCACTAAAAGGAAGTCAGAAGAGACGATAGTAGAAGAAGCCATGGATGAACAGGAGAGAGAAACCATAAAAATCCAAGATTCTTCAATCAAGGCACTTGAAAAAGGAATAAGAGCAACATCGATGCTATGAATAGCTGCGTGAGAGGAGACGGGACGTGCGACAATGTACAATGAACCTGAAAGAGGAAAACAAGCAACCTCGACGCACTGAATTGTTATTGGACATGCCACCATGCACGATGGAAAATGGAGCAAATCCACAACAAATCCACAACTTCAAAAGGCGTTGAGAACGTGTAGGAGTTCCGATGAAGGCGTCATTGGTTACATGGTGATAGCCTGGCCGAGACGATCAAAACCATGTGATCGTCGGCCGAAACTAAAACTCCTGTAGTGGCAGATGATGGCGTCTCGGGCATCAGTAGATAGTGTTGTTGTCGACAGCGAAGGGTGTAGTGGCAGAGGCAACAAAATGTTTTTCCTCAAAAGAACCTTAGACTCTAGATATCATGTTAAATATAGTGAAAACTTTATGTGAGATTTATCTCCCTTATGTTGAATATAGTGAAAACTATACGTGAGATTTATCTCCCTTGTGTTGAATATACACATAGGATCCTTTATTTATAATAGAAGATGTTGGAAGTCCCACATCGACTAGAGATAAGGTCAATTCATAGTTTATAAGCGGATGCAAACCTCACCCTACAAGCCGGTTTTGTGGGGTTGAGTTAGGCTTAAAGTCCACTTTTAACATGGTATCAGAGTCATGGTTAGAGTTTGGTAATAATTTTAGGGGTTTATTAATAATTTTGTTTGAATTTTATTTTATTAGTTTGAGTTTGGTAACATTTAGTTTGATTTTGATAGAGATAAAATAGGGATAGGTAGTTTTGATTTTCCATTTATTTAGGTGTAGTGTTATTTTATTTTGTTGATATAAGATAGAGATATATTAAGTAATTGTTTTTATTGTGAGACAGTTAATTTAGTTTTTAGTTTTTATTAGGTTTAAACCCTCGGATCGTTCTCATATTAGTTTGGAAAATATTAGTTTGGGAATCCCAAGTGGGTCATCGTTTTTTCAACTGTCTCAATTGGGTTCATATATTTGCAAATTGTCTCAATTTGTTCCAAATATTTGAAAAATTAAGCCATGTCCGTTAAGTTTTCATATACGGCGTTAAAATGAGATGACGTGGTCCACGCTGATGTAAAAATGTTTTATTATGTGGATTTTTTTTTAAATTAAGAGTTTTTGACATGACGAAATTTATTATGAGAATAAGGTTTGCTCCTTCTCCTTCACGCCTACTGTCTAGGCGAGCTTTGTGATGATGACGAATCTTGTTAATGACAAAGAGTGTGGAATCTTTTTAATGGCAAAGAGCTCAGATGTAGAGAGTGTGAACATGGAGAGCTCAGTCCCAACAATAGATGAAGTGATATCGGTAAAAATGATGCAACAAATATGGAGAAGGCAAAGCTGGAGAATAAATTCGGACGAAAAGATGAAGAGATTCAACGAATAGGGATGCTTCTGGATGATGCTAATGAGATTATGAATAAATAGAGGGTTGAGCTTGAGGAGCTGAAGAAGGCTGTTATTGACAAGGAGGAGGAAACATTCGGTGTTCTTGAACCAGATGAAAACGGTAAAGAGGAAGATAAAGATGTTGAGAAGAACCAGGGTACGAAAAGCTCAGATACTAAGATAGCAAAAAATATGATGAGTAAAATTTCAGACAAAATGAAGAAGTCGGCCGAGATTGTTGAGAAATTATCTAAGGTCATAAGCAAGAAGGTCGAGGTTATTGAGAAGATAGGCAAAACAAAGAACAAATCGTCCAAAGCATTAAAAAAGTCAACCAAGGTAAAAAACAAGAGGGTCATAAGGAAAAAGAAGAATCCAAATCTAGTTGAAAGAAGCAAGCTTGATGCGAGGTGATGCACATGGTTAGCCAAATAAAGGATGCAAAATTTAAGTTTGAGGGAGTTTTGTTGGGATATACTTAAATTTTAGGGATTTTTTAATAATTTTGTTTGAATCCTATTTTATTAGATTGAATATGGTAATATTTAGTTTGATTTTGATAGAAATAAAATAGAGATAGGTAGTTTTGATTTTACATTTATTTAGGTGCAATATTATTTTATTTTGTTAATATAAGATAGAAATAAATTAAGTAGTTGTTTTTATTGTGAGTAAGTTATATTTTGTTTTTAATTTTTATTATTTGTACTTGGCTCAATATCGTATTTGTATCTATTTAAAGGTTGTTAAGGTTTAATGAAAATAACTACTGTGAAGTGAACAGTATTACGTGGGTCACGTTTTTGTAACAGTGATTCCGGTTATTTGAATGTTTGATGAGATAAAAGAGGAAAATAGTTTCAATTTGGTTTTTGAAGTAACGGGGGCATTAAATTCTCTTTGTAACTCTTTTATGGCCATTTGCCATCATCCCTTACCTTACCTAGCTTGGTCAATACTCCAGCTATTGACTGGTTTATCTTCAGTTTATATCTTTAGTGAATTCCGGTCCTACTTGGTGGTCATTTTCGTAATCACCTTATTAGTAGTTCATTCCTCTTGTTCATGGTCATCCTTCCATGGATATGGCCATATGAAATGAGTGTGGAAAAACAAAGATTCATTATTATGTCAGAGGATTGTGCATATTTTATCTTTCAGATGTTCTGCTCGTGGTTTGATTACTGAAGTTGTGTAAAATAAGTTGATCTTCAATTACTCATGGATCCAAATGCTGAACTTTCTATAAATTCTGTAAAATAAGGTGTTTTTTTTGTTGATTAATATACTATTGTGTAGAACTAACATATCTCTCTGTTATGCCAGAATTGGGGAAAATTGAGGATGCTATTATTATAGGAAATGATGAAGATGAAGCAACATTGGACAAGAAGGAGACTGGTAGTGACCATCAAAGTTCAGCAGCAGCAGCATTCCAGAAAAAGACAGGATTGACTTCAAGCATTGGGAATCTGAAAAGGAAATTTGTTTCTTCGCCCAAATTGGATGCGAATGTCTTGAAGGGCTTAGATAGTGATGATTCCTCTTCTAGTTCAAGTTCCAGTTCTAGTTCTTCTAGTCCATTTGATATGGATAGTCTACCTCTTCCAAAGAATAAGAAAACTATAACAGATGCAACAAGTTTTAGATTGAATTCATTACAAAGGTAAAGAGGTAGAACATAGATGTAGGGCAATATAGATCACATAATTGAGGGTGGGAAAAGGGAGAAGTGCGTGATGATGTTAGGGTTTTTCTTGTGGTATATGTGGGAAATGTTTTAGTAGATAAAGTTCTCATTGGAGTAGTTTGTTTAAAGTTATAAAATTGAATGTTTTGCATGGTGTTGAATGGTGGTAATATAGCAGTATACGGAATAACATGTTCCAGATAATGAATAAGAGGGCGAAAAGTGCTTCGAACAAAAGCAGAATGAATCCCCAATTATACCTACACTGGAAAACCTAACACCACAGTTGGTACAAATTTGGAAAAATGAATTCAATAACAAAATTAACAATGCAAACATGATTCAAATATAGAAATGACAATGCAATGCTTAGAGCATGAATTAAAATGTAGAAACTCAAAATCTTGGTTATTAACTTCACAGCACAAACTTCTCCCAAAACCAAGAAAAACTAAGAACTAAAAATTGTAAAGAGTAAACGAATGGTGTGTTCCAGGTTTTTATAAGCTCCTAGGTAAAACAAGTCTTCAGCTCTTCTAATTCCATGCTGCAACAGGTCATTCCTCTTAAGCAAAACTATCCAGCCAACTTCCAACCTGTTATAGCAGGTCACCTCCTCTGCCACGTAGATTAACAACTTCCAAGGTCACTTATGCCAAGTGTAACAGCCAGTTGTGAGTCATAATTGACTGGTTGAGCTTCCTTTCTTCATTGGCAACCTACTATCACAGGTTCAGTCAACCTTGTGCAAGCTTCCAGCTCTTCAAAACCCTCTCAAGTTCACTGCATCACAATTCATAGCACAAAAATTAGTCAAACTGAAAATTTTGAATTACCATTTAAAACCAAAATAATACTATACTAGACTACAACTGATGACTCCAGATATATTAGACCAAAAATTACTCTAAAAGTATCTTTTTACCACAATTACAAAAACCAAAGAGTTTTACAAGAGAATCTGCAAATAAACTAAAGACAAAGAATAAGAACAAAGAAATACTTTAAAGAAGTCCTCTTAACTATTAAAAATATGCTGAAATCAACCCTTAACAGTTGTAAAAGAATGGAATGTTCATTTTAAAACTATTTAATTATCACTATTCATATTATTTCGGATAATAAATTATGGAAAAAATAATCAGAAATGTATAACTTGAAATGACAAAGAAAAAGGACAAAATTGAAACTTTAAAAAAATATGGAGGTGACATGGTGGAGAAAGTAGAAGTCAGAGACAAAATTTCATATACTTAACTGATATTTTTTCAATTGTTTATCTACTCAGCTTTATACTTGGAATTACCGATATTAATCACGGATTAATATCTTTGAAGTAAGATATTAATTGTAATTAACACTTATTACTATCCATATTAATCACGTCCCTTAATTACTTAATTACAATTAACATGGTTTTGATGTTAACGACACAAATATAGTCTTGATTTACAATAATTTTTTAGACTGCACAACTCAATTTAAGAATTCTTTTTTTTTTATGAAAAATTGACTTTTTAATTGTGCAATGCAAAAACCTTTTTTTTTCATGCAAAAAATAATTTTTGAATTATAAAATTTGAAAGCTTTTTTTTTTCATACAACAAATTTAAATTATATACTTCAAAAATAAAAATAAAAAACTTTGAATTGAACAATTCAAGAATCAAAATTGATTTGTAAATGGAAACTTAGAANTTCACGCCTACTGTCTAGGCGAGCTTTGTGATGATGACGAATCTTGTTAATGACAAAGAGTGTGGAATCTTTTTAATGGCAAAGAGCTCAGATGTAGAGAGTGTGAACATGGAGAGCTCAGTCCCAACAATAGATGAAGTGATATCGGTAAAAATGATGCAACAAATATGGAGAAGGCAAAGCTGGAGAATAAATTCGGACGAAAAGATGAAGAGATTCAACGAATAGGGATGCTTCTGGATGATGCTAATGAGATTATGAATAAATAGAGGGTTGAGCTTGAGGAGCTGAAGAAGGCTGTTATTGACAAGGAGGAGGAAACATTCGGTGTTCTTGAACCAGATGAAAACGGTAAAGAGGAAGATAAAGATGTTGAGAAGAACCAGGGTACGAAAAGCTCAGATACTAAGATAGCAAAAAATATGATGAGTAAAATTTCAGACAAAATGAAGAAGTCGGCCGAGATTGTTGAGAAATTATCTAAGGTCATAAGCAAGAAGGTCGAGGTTATTGAGAAGATAGGCAAAACAAAGAACAAATCGTCCAAAGCATTAAAAAAGTCAACCAAGGTAAAAAACAAGAGGGTCATAAGGAAAAAGAAGAATCCAAATCTAGTTGAAAGAAGCAAGCTTGATGCGAGGTGATGCACATGGTTAGCCAAATAAAGGATGCAAAATTTAAGTTTGAGGGAGTTTTGTTGGGATATACTTAAATTTTAGGGATTTTTTAATAATTTTGTTTGAATCCTATTTTATTAGATTGAGTTTGGTAATATTTAGTTTGATTTTGATAGAAATAAAATAGGTATAGGTAGTTTTGATTTTACATTTATTTAGCTGCAATATTATTTTATTTTGTTAATATAAGATAGAGATAAATTAAGTAGTTGTTTTTATTGTGAGTAAGTTATATTTTGTTTTTAGTTTTTATTATTTGTCCTTGGCTCAATATCCTATTTGTAACAAAGGTTGTTAAGGTTTAATGAAAATAACTACAGTGAAGTGAACAGTATTACGTGGGTCACGTTTTTGTAACAGTGATTGTGGTTATTAGAATGTTTGATGAGATAAAAGAGGAAAATAGTTTCAATTTGGTTTTTGAAGTAACGGGGGCATTAAATTCTCTTTGTAACTCTTTTATGGCCATTTGCCATCATCCCTTACTTTACCTAGCTTGGTCAATACTCCAGCTATTGACTGGTTTATCTTCAGTTTATATCTTTAGTGAATTCCGGTCCTACTTGGTGGTCATTTTCGTAATCACCTTATTAGTAGTTCATTCCTCTTGTTCATGGTCATCCTTCCATGGATATGGCCATATGAAATGAGTGTGGAAAAACAAAGATTCATTATTATGTCAGAGGATTGTGCATATTTTATCTTTCAGATGTTCTGCTCGTGGTTTGATTACTGAAGTTGTGTAAAATAAGTTGATCTTCAATTACTCATGGATCCAAATGCTGAACTTTCTATAAATTCTGTAAAATAAGGTGTTTTTTTTGTTGATTAATATACTATTGTGTAGAACTAACATATCTCTCTGTTATGCCAGAATTGGGGAAAATTGAGGATGCTATTATTATAGGAAATGATGAAGATGAAGCAACATTGGACAAGAAGGAGACTGGTAGTGACCATCAAAGTTCAGCAGCAGCAGCATTCCAGAAAAAGACAGGATTGACTTCAAGCATTGGGAATCTGAAAAGGAAATTTGTTTCTTCGCCCAAATTGGATGCGAATGTCTTGAAGGGCTTAGATAGTGATGATTCCTCTTCTAGTTCAAGTTCCAGTTCTAGTTCTTCTAGTCCATTTGATATGGATAGTCTACCTCTTCCAAAGAATAAGAAAACTATAACAGATGCAACAAGTTTTAGATTGAATTCATTACAAAGGTAAAGAGGTAGAACATAGATGTAGGGCAATATAGATCACATAATTGAGGGTGGGAAAAGGGAGAAGTGCGTGCTGATGTTAGGGTTTTTCTTGTGGTATATGTGGGAAATGTTTTGGTAGATAAAGTTCTCATTGGAGTAGTTTGTTTAAAGTTATAAAATTGAATGTTTTGCATGGTGTTGAATGGTGGTAATATAGCAGTATACGGAATAACATGTTCCAGATAATGAATAAGAGGGCGAAAAGTGCTTCGAACAAAAGCAGAATGAATCCCCAATTATACCTACACTGGAAAACCTAACACCACAGTTGGTACAAATTTGGAAAAATGAATTCAATAACAAAATTAACAATGCAAACATGATTCAAATATAGAAATGACAATGCAATGCTTAGAGCATGAATTAAAATGTAGAAACTCAAAATCTTGGTTATTAACTTCACAGCACAAACTTCTCCCAAAACCCAGAAAAACTAAGAACTAAAAATTGTAAAGAGTAAACGAATGGTGTGTTCCAGGTTTTTATAAGCTCCTAGGTAAAACAAGTCTTCAGCTCTTCTAATTCCATGCTGCAACAGGTCATTCCTCTTAAGCAAAACTATCCAGCCAACTTCCAACCTGTTATAGCAGGTCACCTCCTCTGCCACGTAGATTAACAACTTCCAAGGTCACTTATGCCAAGTGTAACAGCCAGTTGTGAGTCATAATTGACTGGTTGAGCTTCCTTTCTTCATTGGCAACCTACTATCACAGGTTCAGTCAACCTTGTGCAAGCTTCCAGCTCTTCAAAACCCTCTCAAGTTCACTGCATCACAATTCATAGCACAAAAATTAGTCAAACTGAAAATTTTGAATTACCATTTAAAACCAAAATAATACTATACTAGACTACAACTGATGACTCCAGATATATTAGACCAAAAATTACTCTAAAAGTATCTTTTTACCACAATTACAAAAACCAAAGAGTTTTACAAGAGAATCTGCAAATAAACTAAAGACAAAGAATAAGAACAAAGAAATACTTTAAAGAAGTCCTCTTAACTATTAAAAATATGCTGAAATCAACCCTTAACAGTTGTAAAAGAATGGAATGTTCATTTTAAAACTATTTAATTATCACTATTCATATTATTTCGGATAATAAATTATGGAAAAAATAATCAGAAATGTATAACTTGAAATGACAAAGAAAAAGGACAAAATTGAAACTTTAAAAAAATATGGAGGTGACATGGTGGAGAAAGTAGAAGTCACAGACAAAATTTCATATACTTAACTGATATTTTTTCAATTGTTTATCTACTCAGCTTTATACTTGGAATTACCGATATTAATCACGGATTAATATCTTTGAAGTAAGATATTAATTGTAATTAACACTTATTACTATCCATATTAATCACGTCCCTTAATTACTTAATTACAATTAACATGGTTTTGATGTTAACGACACAAATATAGTCTTGATTTACAATAATTTTTTAGACTGCAC